GTTGTAGTGTAAGATCCTGCCTCAACCCCACTTCCCCAGCAAAAAGGGGACAAAGCAGGGCTATGACGAAGGGGCCTTTTAGGAGGTGTAAGAGGACCCCCATCCCTCATCCAACTGGGGAAGGCAAGGAAGGCTTCCTGGAGGAAGGCGTGTATAACTAAGCTCTGAAGTCTAAATAGAAATATGCAAATGAGAGGGGGAAAAACATTTATTTTAAATATTTTATTTTTATTTTATGTGTACAAGTGTATTGCCTGCATGTATGTGAGTGCACCCATGTCGTACAATGCCACGGAGGTCAGAAGAGGGCTTTGGATTCCCCTGGAACTGGAGTTAAGGACGGCTTGTAGCCATCATGTGGGTGCTAGGAATCGAACCCGTGCCCTCTGTAAGAGCAGTCAGTGCTCTTAACTGCTGAGCCATCTCTCCAGCCCCTATTTATTTATTTTTTTGAAACAAGCTCTCATTCATGTTACCTTAGGCTGGCCTGGAACTCAGCATGTTGCCAAGGATGACCTTGAGCTCCTGATCCTCCTACTTTCACCTAGCAAGTGCCTGTGCCACCATACCTAGCTTTATGCAGTGCTGGAGATGGACCAGGCCTTCATACATGCTAAGCAATCAGTTTACCTCTGAGCCACAGCCCAGGCCAGGAAAGGCATTTCAAACAGAAGAAACAACAAGTACAACAACTTGAAAGTGGTTTTCCTCCCTCAGTTCTTATGTGGAACATGGAAGAGAGATCTGAGAGTGACACGTACAGAGACGAGACAGAACAGACACACCCTCCCACACATGAATCTGCAGACTCATAATCTCCCACACAGTCACACACACACACACACACACACACACACACACACGCACGCACGCACGCACGCACACACAGAGTTCCTGGAATTACTGTGTCACAGTTCCCCACATGTATACAGTATCACAACATCACACAGACATTTAAAATAATCACAGTGCCAAGCTGGAGATATGTCTCAGTTTATAGAGTACTTGCCTAGCATACGGAAGGCCCTGGGTTCGATCCCCAATGCATAAACCAGATGCAGTGGAGCACGCCTGTAATTCTAGCACTAGGAAGGTAGAGGCAGGAGGAATGAAAGTTCAAGGTCATCCTTGGCCACACAGTGAGTTCAAGGTCAGCCATGGATGAATGAGACCCTGCTTTATTTTTAATTATTTTTGAATTTTATTTATTATTTTTATGTGTATGAGTGTATTGTCTGCATGTGTGTAAGTGCACTCATGTTGTACAATGGTCTCAGAGGTCAGAAGAGGGTGTCGTATCTCCTGGAACTGGAGTTTAGGACAGTTGTTAGCTGCCATGTGGGTGCTGGGAACTGAACCCAGGTCCTCTGTAAGAGCAGTCCATGCTCTTAACTGCTGAGCCATCTCTCCAACCCCAAGACCCTGTTTTAAAAAGAATTTTTCTGGGTGTGGTGGCACATGCCTTTAATTCCAGCACTCAGGAGGCAGAAGCAGGTGGATCTCTGTTGAGTTCAAGGTCAGCCTGGTCTACATAGCAAGTGCCAAGCAAGCTGGGGCTACAATGAGACCTGTCTCAAAGAGACCAAAAAAAAAATCTTAGGGGCTGTTCTTTCAGGGGACCCCTGTTCCATTCCCCAAACCCACATTGGATGGCTCATAACTGACTGTATCTCCAGCTGCAGGGGCTCCAATGCCCACATGGCTTACATTTGCACAGAAACACACAATACATATAAAATTAATATAGTAATAATAATAAATCACAGGCCAATGAGATGGGTCAGTGTTAAAAGTATTTGCCACCAAGCCTAGTGACCTGAGTTTGATCCCCAGGACCAAATTCAATTCTTGCAAGTTAAGTTGACCTCTGACATCCATACATTAGCACTCCAACAACGCACACAAACTAAAGAAAATGCCAAAAAAAAGTCATAATGCGTCCACACAAGTAATCACAGAAGAAATCACTATACCCAGATACTAACACAAACATGTTGAAGGAATTACATCTCTCCAACACAGAAATATGTCACAATGGCCACATGTTTACTTAAAATGACAAGAGCATGCACACACACAAACACACACATACAGACTCATGCAAGAACACACACACACACACACACACACACACACAGAACTAGAAAATAACATGGAGCTGGGTGTGGTGGCACACAACTTTAATCCCAGCACTTGAGAGGCAGAGGTAGGCAGATCTCTGTGAGTTCGAGGCCAGCTTGGTCTACATAGCGAGTTCCAGGCCAACTGGGACTATGGGGCGAGCCTGTCTCAAAAAGACAAAAAAAAAAAAGAAAGGTAGGTAGGTGGAAGTCAAGTGTGGTGACACACACCTGTTATCCCAGCACTTGAGAGGTAGAGGCAGGGAGGAACAAGAATTCAAGGGCACTGTTGACTATTTAGTGAGTTTGAAGCCAGTCTGGGCTACATGAGGCTTTGTCTGTCTCAACCCTCACAAACAAACAGACTGACAAACAAACATAAATACCAGCTACCCAGTGCACCCACACCCTCCAAAGTGACCCCACAGATGAGTCAGCACACGCTTTTCTGGTGCCTACAAAGGCAAGGTCTTTATGTTCTGGAGACATCTGTGGGTCTCAGAGCCAGCATGACCAGGCCAGATCCTTCCCCTCTCCTAGCCCAGTACAGTTCCATCCATCGAGGGCCCACAACACCCCTGAGGGGACACAGGGATCAGACCCTTTTCCCCATAGCACCTGGAAAGGTTACCTCTTGACAAGACAAAGTAAGTGGTACCTTCCAAAGAGGGGTGAATGGGACAGAGAGGGGAACGTTTTCCTGGGGGACATCATGAGAAGCACCATAGTAGAAGGGAGCTAGGGGTTGGGAGAATGCACAGCTGGTGGCAGACAGCCGAAGGCTTCTGCCCTCTCTCCCCACCCCAAGATATGCAGATAGGGCTGTGCGTGTGCCTTTGCGGCTGGATGGTGAACCCCCACAAGGAAGGGAGGAAGCCCCAGGTCCCTAGACGTCTGGGGTAGAGTTAGGATTAAGTGCATGCCGAGAGGCACAGGGTGGGAAGTGAAAGAAATTCTAGAATAGAGAAGTCTTAAGGCTATGACACTGGAGGGGTTCAAGCATGAAGGTCACAAGCAAAGACTCTGGAGGATCTCAAATGGGAAGACTTAAGATGGATGGGAAGACACTGGGGCAAGTTCAAAGAGGGTGGGAAGCTTAGAATGGACTTAAAAGGATGAAGTCTGGACTGAGGGAGTCAGAGGTGGTGAGATCTTAGTGCAGGGAAACCTATAGGGTAATTCTAGATTCTACAAACAGAAATATGTGGAGGCTGAGTTTTAGACCTGAGGAACAGGATCTGAAATCAGAGGCAGGTGGAAACTATGAAGCCTAGAACCCGAGGAATTTATAGAGTAATGACAGAATCAGGAAAAAGTCTAGGGCAGGGGATGCAGCTCAGGTGGTACAGTGCTTGCCTAGCATGAACAAAACCCTGGGTTCCATCCCCAGAACCCTATAAACCAGGCATAGTGGTGCACAGCTGTAATCTGAGCTCTGGGAGGTGGAGGCAAAGGATCAGAAGTTCAAGGTCATCCTTTAATACACAGTGAGTTCAAGGCGAGCCTGGGCTATATGAGACCTCGCCAACACCCGCAAATGCCCAAAGACCAAGTTCTAGAATCCACAGGGATTTTGGAATCTTGAGATATAGAATCAGAAGCAGTTGGGGTTGTAAGGTTTAGAACCAAAGTGTATAAGGCAAGATCCTATCAGCAGACCTTTTGAAGCCAAGTTCTAGAAATTAGGTCATTTGAAACATAAGATCTGGAGTAAGGAGGAACTGAAAATCGTGAGGTCTAGAATCAAAAGAATTCATGGGATAAAGTCTAGAATTGGAAGGTATTTGCAGGGGCTGGGGATGTAGCTCAGTTGGTAGAATGCTTGCCTAGCATGCACAAGGACCTAGGTTCAGTCCCCAGCACCACGTAAGACCAGGTATGGTGGTTTATGCCTGTAATTTCGGCCCTTGAGAGGTGGAGGCAAGGCAGGGGTATCAGGAGTTCAAGGTCATCCTTGACTACATTGTGATTTCAAGACCAGTAAGCTTGAGACTGTCTCAAAACACAAAACAAAACCCGGAAGACGTTTAACGCTCATTTTAGGTGAACACTCTACCACTGAGCTACATCCTACCTAAAGCTCAGTTTTAGGACTAGTGAAGTAGCAGGTCATCTGATCATCTAAAAACAGAAGATCTTGGAAGTTACAAGGTCTAGAGGTCACATAAAAGCTAGAGATGGTGGAGGTCGCAGAATCTAGAACCCAAAAGAACTAGCATCTGGTGCCTGACTCCAGAAGACTGGCTATAAGCTCAAGACATAAAATTCATTGTACTCCTCTCTGTTGGGAAAAGTAATTCTTGGATTATTTAATGCAGAGGCTTGAAAAGCAATAAGCTGGACATCATGAGGGTTAGAACCAAAATGGTAGAGAAATTAGGTCTGGACTTGAAACCAAATATATTACAGGTCAGGAAGACTGGAACCAACAGGAAGCCTGGAGTTGTAGGGTCCAGAAACAAGAAGAAACTATTGATTGCTAAAATCATCTGGACCCATTGACAAAGGCTTGTGATCCCAGCCACTAGGGAGGCCAAGGCAAGAGGATCATGAGTTCAAGGCCTGACTGGGTTTACAGAATGAGTTCAAGGTCAGCCTGAGAAATTTACTGAGATCTTGTCTCAAAATATAAAATTTAAAGGACTGGAGTAGAGTGCTTGCTTAGCCATGTTCAAGGCCCTAAATTCAATCCCCATTACTATACACACACACACACACACACACACACACACACACACACACACAC